AAAGGCAAAAACCCTCCACTTGTCTTCTCTCAGAGTCTTCTCCTTTTATTCCTTTTTCTTTTTTGGTACTGCTCAATCATTGCTCACTTCCAAGAAAACCGAGCCTGCCCCAGCCAGGCCCTCAGCCCCCAAAGCAAAGAGCAGTTCCCACGACCACACCCTCCAGCCCAGCCCTGCAGAGGCAGAGTTCAGCCCCACAGCCGTGGATCTGGTCAGACTGGCTGGGGCCGCTGGCTGAGGCAATCCTGATGGACTGGGACCCGCAGGCAGGCAGACGGAGGGCTGGAGCGAGTAGAGAGCGTGAGAGCCGGCAGGACTCAAAGCGGCAAGCAAGCACACCAGGGCAGACTGGAAGACAGCAGGCAGCCAGGCCCCGCAGCCCATGTGCTAGTGCAGCCCTCGTGGCAATCCCAGTGGAATAGGCCCAGCCAGCTCGAGTGAGCCAAATCCTGAGCTCATTTTAATGGCTTCTGTCCCAATTCTGAGTCACTGGGGATTCCATGGACTTCTAAGAGAGCCCTACATGCATTTCCAAAAACAAACTGCTTGATGCTGTCATGGAAAACCTGGATCTTTGCATTCTACAGTTTCACTATGGATTACATCCAGGTCACAACCTAAGGAAGACAGCTGGCAAAAAAACAGCCCTGCTGGCGGATTACCCAGCTTTTGTAATGAATCCCAGAGGGATATGAACTGATGTGTGTTTCTGGCTCTGCCAAGTCCTGGACAAGTTCTCACCTAGTGAAGACCAATCAGCCTGTGATTTATTTTGCCAGGGGAATCCGAGCAGCCACCTGCAATCAAGACTCCACTGCGAGGAGCTGCCTCCAGAAAGCAAAGGGATGAAGACTGTGTGTGTCTGGCAGGAGGGGAGTGGGGCGAAGGAGGTCTTTGTTTCCTTGTCATTTCAATTGCTATCTTCTGCTTTTTAAAAAAATGATCTGAGGACACACCTGGCCATACCAAAGCCACAGGACTGCTCCGCACCCTGCAGCCCCAACACAGGCAGGCTATTACGGGGCCAGGGAATGGCCCTATACAATGTATTCGTGTTTGATTTGAACAGAACAAGGTCAACAGTAAAAGCTGCAAGAGATACCCCTATTCCTAAGAACTGCAGTCCCCAACCCCTTGGCAATGGCCCAGTACTGGTCCGTGGCCTGTTAGGAAAACAGGGTGGAGCATCACCTCCTGAGCTCCACCTCCCCATCTTCCATGGAAAAACTCTCTTCCGTGAAACCAGTCCCTGGAGCTGAAAAGGTTGGGGACCCCTGTCTTAGAATGCCACAATTCTGGAAAACAAAAAATACACTAAAACTTGCTAAGAAAGCAGAAATACTTTAATTATTATTATTAGCTGCCATTTATTATTTATTGTGAGTCAAGCACTATGCACTTAAGCCTTTCTCATACTCTTATATTATCTAATTTAACCCTCAAAACAACCCCAAGGCATATACTATTACATCCATTTTACAAATGAGAAAACTAAGGCTTAGAGAAGTGAGGTAAATTGGTCAATGTTTCACGGCCACTTTTAAATGAAGCTTGAACTCTCATTACTGCCAGGAGTGAGTGCTAAACCAAGGATATCTGTGGAAAAGTATTTAGAATGGGTGCCACTATCAGGCTAGGCCTTAAAGACAAATCCTGCTGTCAGGGTTAACTTAACCAGGAATAACTGTATTTTATTTTTTTGAAGTTATCCAGAGTTTGGGATTTCCACAGAGATAGCCGATTCTTTCACATTCAGCTTCTAAAATCAAAATATCAGGATTTTGATGATTTATGTTGTATTTTTATAGATAATGAGGGCTATACAAGCCTGTGGCATATTTATTCTTTAAAATTAAGTGTAGCAAAGGAATATGCTTATAATATCTTATAATTTTTCATCCAGCTACATTTCACAAAAATGTCCTTTTTGCCAAAATGTGAGTTGCAAGAACACACAGAGCCGAGTGTATTGCTAAAGAATCCTCCTGTTGCTCTGGCAGCAGCCTCCTTTCTCACCATTTGTTTCAACATGGAAGAGATCCAGGGCTGAGTGAGAGAGGTACAGGGAGAGACAAGACTGACGCTCACAGCTGCAACCAGTCCCTGGCCGGGGCTGGCCAGATGCTATCACAGATTGGCTGACAGGAGAGAAAGCAAGTCAGCTGCCTCAGACAATGGTGTGGCAACCTTCTCAGCCAGAGATGCAAGGATCATGGCTGCCATTTCCACTGGCTTGAACTGCAAGGTGTAGACCTCCATTAGGGAGAAAGACCCCCAAGCATCCCTGGCAGATGTGAGCCCCAAACACGCAAAGGATGGCCTATCCCGTGTTTCTCATGATTTCTTCCCTGTGGGGTGCTGCTGGGCTGGAAGAAGAACAGAAACCACTCTTTCCTGTATCTGAGTGCTTAGCCTTAGATTGATGGCTCCTAGACAGCAGCCACACTGTGCAGGAACCTCTGCCTCCTGCCAATTAAAAATTTTGAGTAATTTCAGAATTTCTGAGATGTGCATAGGACGTAGGGGTGGGAGAAAGTTAAAGTTTCCTTTAGAAAGCCCAGACTTTTGGAAGAGACTGATGACCAGCAGACTAGCCCCTCAGGAGTGTTACTGCTTCCTCCTTTTCAACTCTCTTCCCAGAAGCCTTATGCAGAGAGAAAAAGAGAAAAGTCAGAAAAATCTCACCAGAGTGTAGAAATAATACCTAAGATATATACTGATCTTTGTGCAAAATGAATGCTCTTGCCATTTATGTGGTGCACACAAGAGCACCAAACGGTATGTTGGACTAATCCTCATTCTTCAAGAGGGAATTCACTGGACTAACACCTCATGAAAAACTGCATGTAAATCATCCTGAAGGACACCTGTGCTTTGCTCCCGAACACCTACAAAAGACAGGTTTGGTGTTGTGGCCCAAGGTGTCCCACTCCTTGCAGTAAATGGCCACTGATTTACTAGAAGGCAATTAGATCACCACCAAGTTTCTCAGGGTGAAAAGCGCTCTTTCAGGTGACAAGCCAGGAGTCTCACCTACACACTACCATATTGATCAAACCCACAATAAAGGCATGAAATCATCAAGGATGTGCAAATACACCACCGTGAGAGAAAAATTAAACAGAAATCCTCCCATCTGGTCGACCAGGGCTCTTCCATAGGATTAATAAACTTTGTGTACTGGCCTCCCTTTATCCATGTGTTTATTTTTGACTCCTCAAAAGCCTTTGCTAACACTTCTCTGCAGAAGTTTTAAGACATACGCATGCATCTACGCATACACACCTGAAGCACTGTGTCTGAGGATAAAGCACGGGCATTCCTCTCACAGTGTTGTTGAAACGCACCTTACTGAACACTTCTGGCCAGTGAAATGCCAAGCTGAAGATTTCAGAAGGGAATCAAAAGGAGACCATGAGCAGAATCAAAACTCTGAGATTAAAAAAGAAATCTAAGGTAAAGTCATATTTTCCAATCTCCCTATTTTTCAGAAGAGAACACTGAGCTCCAGAGAGGTGGTACATTTACAGTATCTCAAGGGGAACTGCTAGTTATTAATATTAGCAAAGCTGAGAAACAAAATCCTGGGCACCTAAATTCTCAGTGCCTGGGTCATCCGTGGTATGGCTGATCCTGGCAGGTGAGATGAGGGGCCAGAGATTTGTCATTCTGGGCCAGAACACTTAAGGGCTCTGGTGACTGGATGGTGTATACCCCACCCCCATGACAGCCGATCAGAACTGAGGGGCAGCTCCTCTGCCATTGCCCCCATCCCCCACCACCACACAGGGGCCCTCCTAAGATTTGAGGAACAGAAAACTTTATCTTATCAGCTGTTTGAGGAAAAAAAAAACCTGTCATTTGATCTATTTGGAAGCCATCCCAGCTGAGCTCAAGACTTTGCTATGAAGCAGACTAGAGCTAATTCATTTAGGGTCTGTTCTTTACAGCCCTGGACACAAGGCTCAGTGCTTATCTTCATTGTTGAGTCCTGTGCAACAGCGTTAGAATTTGCTGAGGGATGAATCACCTGTGTCCTTCATTTAGGGTTGTAGGCGGATTACTGTTTCTCCTGTTAGAATTGAGATTAATATCTTGGTTTAAAAGTGAATACTTTTTTCTATCAAAGTAAGATTCTACTTCCTTGTGGATGTCTTCAAACTCAGCTATGTATGTGTGTGTGAATTTCTGCCACCCAGGACAAGCCTGGACAGACTGTTACCCCCTTGCTCAGGACCTGCCTCTTGAACCCACGTGGGGAAGCCTACAAAGTGCTGGTGGCAGTGGACGTTTTCCTACAGCTCACAGCCTTCTCTCTGGGATCACTGTAAAGAGCTCATGCGTTTCTTCCACCCCTTTCTAACAAGCTCATTAGTAAGAAATTCTCAGAAAGTGGAAGAGTTAGATTGCCTTTTCTGATCTGAGTGCACAGAACATTCTGTCAGGCTCCAGGAGACAGACAATTTAAACCAGAACATCATTAAACACGGAGCAGCTGATACTAATTCCTTCCCAGCCTGCCTCTCCCAGGCCAAAAGCTGAAATCATCTGGGGGCCGGGGCTGAGAGTGGGGCCCAGGCTGGCTGCCTCCTACTTGCATTCCTTCTTAGCACAGAGTGCTTGCTGCAGGTGGGACTCCTCTCACCATAATTCCTCGGAGAGATAGACTGGCGTGGAAAGCATGCTTTTCATTTAACGGGAAAAGCAAAAAGTAGGAGTAATTACTCAAATAAAAACCAACAACTTAGACCCGGAGGAAATAAGCAACGAGGAAGATCACGCCAGAGAAGAATAAGACGGCATCTTCCTGTGGGGTGAGGGTGAGATAGGGAGAAGGGACCCATCCGGGCAGCACATGCATGGAACAGAACGTAGCAAAGGAAAGCCCGATGAGAGCAGATGGTCTCCCAAACTGGCAGGAGGAGAATCAGCGAGCACCAGCCTGCCCCGCAGCTCTCGGTCCCGCCCTCCCCGGCTCGGTCCCTGCCCTCTGCACTTACCTGCGATTCCTTGCAACAGCCCGCAGACGTTGAAAATGCTTTTCTTCATGATGCTCTGCACACACATGGTGAAGACGGACACCAAGGCCACTATGCAGAGAATAAAGATCCCCACGGCCAGGAAAATCGCGGTGGCCTGCCAGAAGCCGCTGGCGATCTCGCCGAAGCTCTCCGCGTAGGGCCCACACAGCATGTCCCGCTGGAAGTGCTGCAGCCCGGGGTTCCGCGTGCAGCGCGCGTAGATGCCCAAGGTGGGGTGGTAGAACTCCGGGGAGCCCCCGTCCGGGCCAGCCGGCTCGGCGCCGCTGCGGCTGTGGCTCTTCGCCTTCCCGATGAGCCAGTCTGCGCTCATGAAGGCGATGAGCTCTGCGAAAGCCACCACAATACTCAGGAGGGTCCAGAGCATCGAGCGACAGGTGACGATGACATGACACATATTGATGTTCCAGGCGGGAAAAGACTCAGGCGTCCACGGAGTTAATCAAAAGAGAAAGTCGGCGGGGAAGGGGGCTCGGGCGGGCCGGGAAGCAGGTCGCAGCCGCAGTCATCCACTCCGCAGCCGGCGGCATTCACGCTGCGGGGCGCTCTCGGCTCTGGTCGGAGCCGCGGCACCGCCTGCCGGGCGGCTCACCTAGGGCGAGAGGGGAGGCGGTTAGCGGCGCGCCCGGCCCCGCCCCACTGCCCGCCGGGCGGGGTCCGCACCGGCCTGCCCCGCGGCCCGCGGAGCCGAGTCAGAGCCCCGTCCGGGCAGCGTGCCGGGCCGCTCCGAGCGCATCCGTGGGGTTCGTGGTTTCAGGTTCTCCCCGGCCACACAGCACTCGGCACTGCAGGCGGCGGTTCACCTCACCTCTACGCGGCAGGGCGGGAGGGACCAACGTCGGTTCCTGCTCCCCACCCGGGGCGCCCCAGGATCAGCGGGCACTGCCCGGGCGGCTGCACGCTCCGACGAGGCTCCTGCTCCCTCGTCTTTTATTAGAAAAAGTCAAACAGCACAGATAGATCCAGGCAAGACTGGCCGTGAACTTCGTCAGCGGATTGGCTACATTTTTTAAAGTCTGCAAGACTCGGTCTGCTGTTTTGGCACTAGATAGGCTAAGTTCTGAAATACTTGCACCAAAAGCTTTTGCTTGGCAGTAGAGAGTAGCAACACCCCATTTATTGCCTGGAAATCAAATTACTAGCAGAGACCTACGACTGAGCATGTGCTTCACAGGTAAATGAGAATGTAAAAGGAAACAATCCCACGAAAAAGAATAAACGAAACATTGCTACCCAAACCTATTTTTCATTCATTTTCGCAGGGTGACTTTTAGACAAATAATTCATACTAATTAGAACTCAAAGAAGGAAAAAAAAAAACCTCAACAAACCTTACTTGTGGAAATTATTAACAGGCAGTGATGACCGTTAACTAAGTATCATTACAACTGAGTGGACCAACTTGTTGACAGCAGAAACTTGTCTATGAAGAATGCATCCCTTGAAATGTCCCAATTCATCCCATGTGCCCCTGCCTAAGCTTCAATTCACCCCAGGTCTGGAACTCAACATGCCCATTGTTTCTGATTTCACAGAGGGCTCATTCTGTTCCCAAGGACAAATGACTTCATTACCAGAGGACTTTGCTCCAATGGCTCAAACCTCCTCCAGAGGAGCCTGGGCCCGGCAGCAGGCCTGCCAGTGCTCTCTGCAGCCCCTCGTTCTGCCCCCTCTCCAAGGTCAGGAAGAGTCATGCAGCTCACATCTGACATCTGGGCACACGGCCCTGCTCTCAACGATTAGATCTTATTAACCGAGGTCACGTCAACTCCATGAGACCTACAAAGAGCCCCCTGGCATGTTGGGAGGAGCAGGGTGAGGCGGGCAGTTATCAAAGAGGAAGGGAAGTGGGGAAATGAGGAAGCCCGGTGTCAAGGCTTAAAGTGCCCGTTTCTGTGCCACGCACCAGCTGTCTGCTTGCGGTCTGACATGTTATTGAGCAAGTGACTGACTCTTCTCGTGAAACAGGATGTATTTAAAAGTCCTATCACTGTAGCTATACAAGATGCTATTTTGGGGACAGAACTAGTGCAATACTAGGAATACATGGACTTAACTGTGGGGGGGGTGGACCCGGGGGGTGAGCGTGCGCACGCGTAATGGGGTTGTGCTGCGCACTGGTAAGGGAGAGTGGGGTGCTCCACTGAGAGAGTTCGGGTCCATCAGGTCTCTGTTCCAAAGCCAGCTCCACCCGACTGGTCGCATGGACATCTAACTTCTCAGAGCTTCCCCATCTACCACCTACATAGAGACAGTAAGGGTGCCCCTGCCTCGCAAGACTGCTGCAAGGAATAAACAAGAACCTGCTAAAGTGCCTGGCACGGTATGTGCTTCATAAATATCGAGTCCTTTCCCTTAGAAGCTTCTCCCCTGACGTGGACGCGCTGGTCAGACAAGCAAACCGGTGGAGGTGCTCTGTACCAGCAGAAACCCGGCCACCGCACACCGGCAGAACAGACTGCTGAGGGATGGATGAGGCCACTCACGTCTGAGCCTCCCTGATGGGCCTCGAGCCTCAAGCACGGGGTCCTGGTCTGTCTTCCTGTTTCCCCACGACCTGCCCCAGCTGCCAAATTCCACCCATGAAAGCGAGCATGAAGCCAGAAGGTGTATCCTACTCCACTCACTCGTTCCCACCCCCTCCAATATTAGCAAATTGAAGGGCCTTTTGAGAAAAAAGTTACCAGTTATAAAAGAGCTTGAGAGGAGATTGTCATGAAAATGATCATTCTGAAAGAGAATAAGAAAACCAGCCATAATGACTCCCACAAGGCCCTGAGAGGCTGCACCTGCCCACCGGGCTCACAGACGGCTTTGAACCAACAGGTGGAAGCCCAGCCTGCTAAGAGCTCCAACGCCTTCCCATTTGATTAGAAAACCAACTTACTGTTACACACAGCCCGCCTGTCTTGTCCCTTTTCTCTGTTTAATGGTAATTTTTCAATGTGGATGCACATATTTGTCCTCTTGCAGAAGTGCAGGCCTCTGCTACAACCTCTCAGGTGACTTGTATCTTAATCGCTATGCCAGTGTCCACTGTCCTGGCCAGCAAGCTCTGCTCAGAGTTAGGAATGCAGTTAGGTTGCAACTTCTGAAAAGAAAGGCTGTAAAACTTCAGGATTAGAGAAGGTGGGACGTCCAGGCTCAGCAAAATGGTTGATGCCAAATTTAAGGCAGGATTATTTAAGGACTCATGTGCTTAAGTTCAAATAATTTAACAGTTCCTTCTCCTCTTGTGCTGAAACAATCTGCCACCCACTGCACCAAATTCTCATGTCCACATCAGAATAGCTGGGATGAGGCCTTCATCCTTCTGTTTTGAACAGGGAGATAAGATGCTTTCGTCTCCCCAGCTATTATCAGAGGAACAGCCATGATATGCAAGGCCGACTGCAGCTTCCTGGGGGCTCCAAGCAAAGTTCTGAGGGAGGCAGGACAAGGGAAAAATCTGGAAATGCAGCAGGGGCCTCTCAAGTGGTCTGTGCTCTGTCAGGTGCCCCAGTTTGGCCCCGTGCACAGAGACGCACACACCTGCTGAGACAACATCTGTATCCAAGGGGAAAGAGATCCTCATTATAGAACCTTGTAAACCGCAGGGATCCAGGCACAGCACTCCTCAGCCCCGCCATCCACTGCTCTTAACTAATTCCTGCTTCCACAAAGCTCACTTCATAAAACCAGACCCTCATCACCATTCCATGTAAAAGTCTTCTCTCCAGGCGCCACTACATAAATTTCCCCTCTAGAACGCCTGACACTGCTATCACATGCCTGATGATCATGGATAATCTGCATAGCCCTCTGACTTTCAGACAATGATGCTATGTTTGGCACAAAGGTCTGCAAAGTAAAGCCTCTAAAAAAAAGACAAACGAGGATCATGCAGAAACCTACAATACCACAGTCAGAATAGAGAGCAAGAAGGAGTTTAGGAGAGGCTGGTCTGTAGGAGTCAGTCGTATATATACATATTCTTCCCAAAGCTCTAACTGTAAAAGAAGGGTGAAGGTGCGGAGCAGAGCTGCAGTTTGTCACTTAGATCCTGGGTTCTCTCCATGGCAGCTTCCTGCTGCCAGTTAGAAGGGGAAAAAGTACACGTGAAGCCAGAACCATCCAGTGCTGCTGGCTGGATTACCGGAACAGAAAGCCAGGGGCAAAGTTCACCTCTACCTGGAAAGGCCGAGGGAAACCAGAGGACATAAATCAAGGCAGTGTTGTCCATGCTGCCCAACATGACAGGAACAGCAAATCCAAAAAATGAGACCAGAACAAATCATGTTTTTAAAGAACACTACCTTCTTTACCTTGGTTCTGTTTTTCAGCTTTATTATGAAAATTTTCAAACACAGATACAAATTGACAAGAATAGACGATAAACACCCAACACTCAGATTCAACATTTGTTAACATTTTTCCATATTTGTTCCATCCATTTATAGCCTACACATTCACGCCAACACACAATTCTTTTCCTGAACCATCTGAAAATGAGTTGCAGATGTCTTGACACTTCACCCCTAAATACATTAGCATACACTTCCTAAAAATATGAACATTTTCCTACATAACCACAATAAAATTAGCACACCCAAGAGAACTGACAATAATCCCCTTATATCCAAACCCTAGTCCGTACTCAAACTTCCCTATCCCTGCTCCATTTTTTATAGCTGTTTTCTTAAAACCATGACTCAATCAAGGTTCATGCACTGCATTTGATTAGTTTCTTTTAGTCAAGAACAGTGTTTCCACCCTAACCTATCCCATCCCGCCCCTCTTATCCTCCCTGACACTGGTATCTGAAGATACTAGGGCGGATGTCTTACAATAGTGGTCCTCCACACCTTTTTGGCATCAGGGACAGGTTTCATGGAAGACAGTTTTTCTACAGACCAAGGCAGGTGGGTCGGGGGAGGGGTTGCAGAACGGTTTGGGATCATTCAAGCCCATTACATTTATTGTGCAGTCAAACCTCTCAGTTAATGATAACCTGTATTTGCAGCCCTCAGCTCCACCTCAGATCATCAGGCATTAGATTCTCATAAGGAGCTTGCAACCTAGATCCCTGCATGCGCAGTTCATGGTAGGGTTCGCGCTCCTATGACCATCGAATGCCTCCGCTGAACTGACAGGAGGTGGAGCTTATTCAGTGATGCGACTGATGGGGAACAGCTATGAATACAGATGAAGCTTCTTCACTCCTTGCCCACAGCTCACCTCCTGCTGTGCAGCCTGGTCCCTGGCCTGGGGTTTGGGGACGGCGGCTGTAAAGGACCGTGTGAGGTTACCTAAATGGTAGTGAACTTAATGCTATAATTTCCATGCTTCGATTCTGACATGCTTTGTCACCATTCACACACAAGTTTCAGAGCTCTTTATAATGGGCACAGCTGACTGTAAGTTATCTTTCCTTTTGAGCTTCTCTGTTATCATTTCTCTCAGGCAGGGGAAGTAGAGACGGCCAACCGAAATTACCCTGTTTTATTACTCAGTGGTAACTCACTAGGAGGACTGCCGGAATACAAGTTGAAAACAGATGACTAATAGGTGATTTATGATTAAATCTACAGATTT